GTATTTTACTATTTAGGTGATTCTGATTTTTTTAAGTCATTTTTGCCAATCCATGAGTCATGCAAAACATATGGAGCAACTCCTAGCAGATATATGACTTTTCTACGTATGTATAGTACCATCAATAGCAGCAAAAGAGCAGAGTTGATAAAAAGGCAAAACCATTTGCAGGTATGTAACAAATAACAATGACTACATATCATATTGCAAATTATTTTTGCATTTGTAGATCTTCTTGCTATTCACTTACCTTATGCATGGTGGAGAGCATCTGCTACTGGCATGCTTAGCCTGGGCTTCCAGGCCCTTTGTTGTTTGTACATGCACTCAGACCACATCATCCCTGGTTTCAGAGAAGGGGTACTAAAAGTTCTAATGTGAACACTTTCAAATGCCTTTGGGGAGGGGTTATTTCCACCTTCTTCATTTTTCCTCAAGTGTTACAGGGTGGATGTACCTTTCAGAAGGGAGGAACAGAAAGCTTTCCAGCACCCCAGCTTGTAAAGTTACTCTTCTGACTAAGAAAAGTTTTTCATGTGTACATATTTTGTATGCAAGAGTCTGCACTCTCTCAGATACAAACTACTCTCACCCCAGTCCAGCCCATAACTTGATGGTAACTACACTCTCCTGGCAAGTGGGAGAAGTGTTCAGATCAACTAGTGTCTAGAATCAAGGTCTCCCACTTCCTGGACAAGTGTTCTTGCTTCTAGGTTAGTGAACAAAACTCTACCCTTTTTCCTTTGAACATTTAGGGCAGAATTCTGTTACCCTCTGCACCTAAGTAATAGCTGTTTTCTAGCCACATCCTCTACCTTGCTGTTTTGCTCTCTTCCACCAGGCACCACATATCTCCCTCTCTTGGCTGCTGAGTGGAGCAGCTTGAAAGGGAGATCTAGCAAGATAATGCCTAAGCTGTGGTGTGGTTGGTAGAGCACTATGCTGGGAAGACAGAGCAGCACAAATGCAAACCCCCTCTGGGTGACAGAGGCTTAGAACCCATCTCTCCCTCTTCTTGGGAAAGTGCCCAGGAAGCAATAGGCTATTGGGACTCAAATATTGGTGGTCTCCCTCTTTCTTTGGCATCAAACACCCATTACTCAGTTTCTTGCCTGGTACATTTTTGGGACTTGTGTATGCTTATATATTCACAATGAGTGTGCGCTCACAGCCATTGCATAACTGTGGCTTATGCTCTGTCTTCCTGCGTACCCTTAAATGTCCACAAAGCAGAGGTGATAGAATAACAGCTTGTGCCTAAGTGCCACTTACCTGGCTGGAAAACTGCCATTTAGGTGCACAAGGAGAAGTAGAATTCTTCCTGTAGTTTGTTTCAAAAACCAACACAGCCTTCGGTGATTAAATGCAATGATGGTTTCAGATCGTGAATCCCATGTTAAGAAGCACTTAAGGCTGTGGGAATTGTTTACTGGATATCTAAGATCAGGAGAATCAAATTTCAGATAACCCTTTTTTCCACTTAATGATTGATCTTTGCATCTCCTGCTTACTGTACTGGCTCTTGTGAATGCCTCTCCCAAATGTCTATTGTCTTCCGTTAAGGTAGAAGAAGGTAGCTACTTAACTGAGGTTTGTGAATTTCAGTATTAGAGGTGCATGCCTAAATTTTGGCTATGGGTGGCACTTATTGTCACTTCAACAAGGTCACTTGGTCATTGTGGCCTATGAGCCCAATAAGATCCCAGAAAATTCATGACTAGACTTCTGCTGACTTTAGTGGGAACTATGTACCCCTAATCATTAAGACATTTTAAATGAACAATTTGTCAGTCTGAATCATTTTGAAATTTTAGTATCATTATCATTATCAATCTGTCTGATGATAGAAGTTTGAACTTTGTCTATTAGCTGTTACTAACCAGTTATTTCCAAAAACATTCATAGGCAGGAGTGTCTAAACTGAATGAGGCCAAAGCCCTTGTCGATGAACTAAACAGAAAAGCTGGAGAACAAAGTGTATTGCTCAAAACTAAGCAAGATGAGGCTGATGCTGCCCTCCAGGAAATAACAGTGTCTATGCAGGTAATGTGGAGTCATGAGAGAAGCTAAAATGGGGGGAAAAAAAACCCTTTTTGTTTTTTTCTGTAAATGGTTTTCATGCATTTTCCTGTGTGAAGCTTCAGGTTGAGGGGTACAAAGTTGATATTATTTAAAAGCAGTAGTATAGAAATATGCGTGGGCCTTCAAATTTGTTTAAATTAGCAATGAGACAGAGGTTAAAATGGAATTTGAGCAACATGTGGGTCAACCATATAGTGTGCAGTGAGGATAACAATCTAATGTCTGTATAGGACTAGTATTCATTACTGCAGATCAGTCTGAAACATCCACCAGATCATTGTGTTTAACTAATTTATTTGTAATATTAGCCAAAATAAGTGTAATTTTTTTCAACGCGTTCTACTGTTTTATACGCGATAGTCCAAGTGCCAAGTTTTGTAAATTCCTTCTGTGATTCTTCTCCAGGTAGTAGAAAGTAGGAATGTAAGGAATTTTTTATTTGATTGGCTATGGCACTTGTTCCAGGAGAAAGAGACCTGGCTGTCTGTGTCCCTGTCACCCAGAGACAAGGTGATATGTCCTCCATCCCAACAGACTATAATAGGGCCTAAGCTGCATAATGGGAATATGATCTAGCATTTGCTTGGATTTGCTTAACCAAAGTTTGGCTAAGAGCAGAAGAGGCAGAGGAAATGAGAAAGTGAGACAAAGTCAGAGGTGAGAATGATTTAGAAGACAGGTTAAAAGAAGTAGGCTAAAGGTTGTTCAGAGCACTTTACATTTAGGCTAGGGACAGGCATTCAAAAAGTCTCAGCCTGAATTGATTCAATCTTTGCAGGTTAGTCTAAATTGCAGAGCTTGAACTGATTTGCAGGTGGATAGACATTTACTTTTAAATCAAGAAATCCAGGCACATGTCTGCAGTAGCTCAGGCTAGAAGCTGGGTGGGGAGGGCGTGCCAGAGCAGCCTCACTTCCCTTCCGTAGAGCTGAGCTGATGGGGGGGCATGGCCAGGCCCCGGCAGGATGCTCTGATTAGGGAGGGGAGTAAATCCCCACCCTGCCTGCACAGTCCCAGGCCTTTTGCAGCTTGCTGCTCAAAGGGCAGGAGTGTTGCCAGACCACAGCCCCCAGTTAGCACTCTGAGGCAAAGTGGAGGTGTGCAGCGCATGCATCTGTTGATGGTACTGAGCTTTTCAACCTCCCTTTCCCTGCTTCTTCATATTTGTCTGTCAGGTTTGCAGACAAAGAGCCAGCAGAGAGTTGATAACACAACGTTTAGCAGCCCATCAGGACAACAAAAGCCTCTCTCATTAGTTCAGGCTTTTAAACAGCTTTTTCCAAGGAAAGAACAGGACATTAGCAGCTCACCTGTTGATTAACTCCCAAAAGCCCTAAGGGGACACTGTCCTGTCTGCCTCTGTTCTGTCCCAGTGAAATCACCCCCCCCCCCCCCCCCCACCACAAAAAACAAAATCCCCCCCCCCCCTCCAGCATTAGCTAGTATAACACATGCCGGCTAGGGTTCGTACTGGGGGAGAGAAGAAAGGGTGGATCTCTGCTTGAGCAGCGAATAACGAGGGGGAGGGGAGTAGGTAAGGGGGAAGCTGGGTGGACGCTGTTGTGCCTGCAGTCTGCCAACTCCTTGCAGCTATGGAGGAGAGGGGCAGGGCCAGGCCTGCTCTCTGGAGCAGAAAGCCCAGCCCAGCCCAGGGCTGCAAAGCATCTGTGATGCTGGAGGACTCTGATTTAATTTAAACCAGGAAGGGTTCTGGGACAGAAGTTCTATCAACCGGTTTGACCCAAATCAGCTGTTTGATACTACATTCAACCAGGTTTATCTTAAACCAGTTTCAGTCATTTTGAAACTGATTTATATGCACTGAGCTTATGCTCTGTTACAGGTTTAAATCAGTTTCTGATCACTTAAACCAGTTTTGTGTAATGTCTGTCCCTAGCCTTAGTGGGCCTTTATTGGTTTGAACTGGTTTAGGACAAAATGTAGCTTAAATAGAGGATAAAATGAGGCTCATGAATATTAGAGTAGATCCTATTAGGAACCTTTAAAAAATGGCCTTATTTAGTAAGATTTGTGGTATTTAGCCAGGAAATAGAGCAGGGGTGGGCAAAATGGTGGATCTGGCCGGTCGCGGATTTCATTTCCCAGCAGCCCCTGCCTGCACGCTTGGGCTGGTCTCCATGAAGACCCAGGGAGTGCAGGGCCATCACAGCCCTGCACTGTCACAGCCCCACCTCTCCTGGGGTCTCTGGAGACTGGCTGGAGTAACACAGGCAGGAACTGCTGGGAAATGGAGTCTGCAATGGGCCCAATCTGGCCTATGGGCTGGACTTTGCCCGTACCTGCAATAGAATATGGAAATCTGTGTTCACCTCAGAATCTCTGCTCTTCAGCCACAATTCTTTCTGAATACTTCATCTGAAGATGAGCTAAGATGAGCATTCTTTTAAAACTTAATTTGAAAGTTAAGTGGGAAGTTCTTTTCCCTAACAGGCTGGCCACCTGTTAGAAGCTTTAGGACTTAGAGCAGGGGTGAGCAAAATGCAGCCTGGGGGCTGGATGCCTGCTGCCCAAAATAACTGCCCGCCCCTGACTTAGAGGAATCAATTTTAAATTCTCTTAAATGTCAGTAAGATTGTTATTTCTTTAGATGAATACACATTTTATAACTTTTAATAACTTCCTCACTTGTGGTGTTTGGTCATTTTTAGCTTGCCTGTATTTCATTATATTTAAATATTAAATTACAGATTATACTTATTGAAAAATACTTGCTGCATTTCAAACTGATTTTTTGTAACTTCTTCAGCTGTTTATTTTATTCTGAAGTTAGTAGATATTAAACCATGGTAATTTAACAGGTATTTCATTCTTGTTCTCCTTCCTAAAACTTATTGTCCTTATTAAGCTATGCTACCATATTTATTTATAACATTTGTAGGGTATATATATTTTAGGCCTGATATTAAAGGTGCAGTGTACTTCAAAGGGAGCTGTTTACTTAGCACCTGTGAAATAGACTACAGTTTCATTATTTATTGTTTGTATTACCTGAAAGATCTACTCATAGCTCATAGCCCATAATGTTAGGTAGCATACAAGCTGATAACAAAATGATGGTTCCTGTCCCCAAAAGCTTATGGTCTAGGTATAAGACCAGAGATACAAGATGAATACATACAGGTGTGGAATTTAAAAATCAGTGAGATTGTATTGGTTATCATAATAGCCAGTGGTCTTAGCACGCAAGCATTATAACTATTGCCATTTTTTGTGAGAAGAATAAAAAAGGTGGATTTTAAGGAGGATTTTAAAAGAGGATTATTAGGTAGTTTCCTGATATTTATGTGGAATTCTTTCCAAATATGAGTGTTGCTGTGGGTGAAAGCTTTAAAGGTTCTTATTTGAAAATGTAACAAATAGACAATGGATGTTGACATCAAGGGTTGAACAGGGAGGAGTTATCTTGATAATGAATGATGTAGGATAGAAAAGATGGTCAGAAAGGACTGTGAACGACAGGTAAATTATGTTTGATGCAAGAGACAGGGGAGAGAGAGACACACAGACAAGCGCGCGCGCACACATGCACACTTTAGAATAAAGACTTAGAATCATAGAAAGTTAAGGTTGGAAGTGACCTCAGGAGGTCATCTAGTCCAACCCCCTGCTCAAAGAAGGTTTGGACCGTCTCAAGTCTGGTCCAGTCATTGGCCTACTCACCTATCTAGGGCAGTCTGCCCACCTGACTTTCCTGCCATGCCTTTGATGTAACTTAGAAGTAGTTTTTTCTAGGCAGGAGGCTGCTCATTTAATACCCTGATGCCAAGGGCATAATACATGGCTCCGTCCTGCCCCTACATTGTGTCCCATGCCTCACAGATGGCATCACTATATGGCTCCGGCCCCACACTGAGCCTCACTATATTCTAGACTAACATTTAGACCCCACTCTGGATCCCTCCTACTCAGGCAGCTTAATCTCTGCCATCATCCGGGGCTGCAACCCCTGCTAAGCCCCTTTCTCTCTTAGCAGTGTCCCCCCTCTGGGACCTTTGGCCTCACAGGCCCTGGCCTTGCCTAAGGCCAGTTGGGACTCCAAGTAGCTGGCTCTAGCTGTCCCTCACAGTAGGCGCTCTGGCCCTTCAACCCTCATGGACCTGGCCCCAGCAATGGCCAGTCGAGGTTCCCTGGGTAGGTTCTTGGCAGCTAGCCCTCACTCTCATACAGGTTCGACTTCTGAGCTCATGGACCACATAGTTACTCTGAACCCCTCCTGGGCCCACTGTTTTGCCCTCACTGGGCTCACTCTCTCTCTCTACCCCTTAGTGGGCCTCTACTCTGGCCAACCTATGCTTAGTCCTTCAGGCCCCCCATGGACCCTACTCCTCACAGCCTCCAGCTTGCACAGCACCCCCTCACTGGGGCTTCTGCGCTTATGCTTCTTGGGCCTCAGGCCCCACTCCATGGGCTTTGGCTCTGTGCTTTTCTGTCAGGGTGTGCTCCCCTAGACTTGCCCCTCTACTGAGTCACCCACAAGACAGAGGGGGCTGTGGCTTTCTGGTGCCTTGTACTCGCATTTCACTAGGGAGGCATGTGTGTGTCTGGAGACTGCCCTGCCATAGGCAGTTCCACCACACCATCCAAATCCAGCAGGGTGTAGTTTTAGGTCATTACCCAGGCCTAGGAACCTCCTCTATCCCCATAGTTCCTACTCTTGATCTCCAGGTGTTCTGGGAGCAGCAGATCTCTGGCCAGGAGATGTTCACCCTTCAGCTCCTGAGTTGCAACTGCCCAGTTCTGCTCTCAGGGCCTGTCTTATGCCCTGACTGCTTGCCCCTACACCAATCAGGCAGCCTCCTGGGTGCCACGTGACCCTCCTGACTGGGTCTGTTCCCACCTGCAGGCTGATCTGCAACCCGCTCAAGCCCTTAAAGTGGTAGGCACAACCTGTGCCCTGCCACACAGGACCATTCCCAACTAGATCATCCCAGCCAAAGCTTTGTTTAGCCAGGTCTTGGAAACCTCCAAGGATGGAGCTTCCACCACCTCTCTGAGTAATACTTGAACTGCCAGCTTTTCTGTTACTGGCTCATGACCCAGGCCCTTCAGCCACAGGAGAGGCCTTTATGTATATATTCTCTCTATACAGAGTTCTAGGTATATCAAAGCTATAAGGAAGATTTAAAAACAGTTAAACTCAAACTACAATAGTACCATATGATCAAGTTTGGAAAATGAAGTTTGCCTTTCTCCTCTTACAGAATGCAAGTGAGCAAAAAACGGAAATGGAAAAAATAAAGCACAAAATAGCAGAAGAAGCTGCAGAAATCGAAGAAAGGAAAAGACAAATTGATGATGAACTAAAAGAGGTTCAGGTGAGAACTGACAAAAAATATAAAGAGATGAGCCTTATTTAACTTGGACTGCAATGCTACTCTGCAAGATGACTCTAGAAAACTCACTAGAGCATTTCATATTTATTTTCTCTAAAATTTATATGCAAAAATGTGTTCAGGTTATTCTAGGGGCCAGCCTTGCCCACTCAGTTTGCAATTTGGGGTTTCAAGCCGATCCATTTTCTTTTTGCTTTCTGTAAAATAATGATTTCTCAGGCAAACCACACTTTCAGTTGCTACCCCTATGCTGACTCCCTGAAATGGGTCTGGATAGATGTTATTAATTGGAGCTTAGTAGAAGAATTCTGTTGATGTGCAAGAATGTTTGTTTTTCTCCAAATACATATCAAATGTATTTGACATGTAGGAAATTTTTACATGTGCTGTAGGATGTGGCGCCGAGTGCTTGAATTAGCAAGCTGCACTAATTAAAAGCACGTGCGCATCATGTGTATCAGCATCCCTGTACTGAAAAATGGTGGTCGGATGCTTTGAACTAAAGCTCATCGAATGTGTTTTATTTCGAAGTTTTTCTCCACCGTTTTATCAGCATGGAGATGCGCAAGGACGCTGAGGCATGTGATGCGGGGAAGGCTGCGGTAGTGCATCAATTTCTGTGCTCCAGCAGACTTTATTAATCGAGCCTGCTCCAACGTGATGGGCTTCCAGCACATCGGAACAGGCTCTGCGCAGGTGGATAGGAGCCTTTAGTTTCCTACCTTGTTTCTTCTCTCCTCCTGACAGTAACAATCCATAGCAAAAGCTCTGTTACCCAGCACTCCTGGGGAATGGGGAGTGCCAGATAATGAAATATGCTGGTTACCCGAGAGGCCCAAACAGGTGTCTTTGCCTGTTCAGGCTGCTGCATCCGGTGAGCCGCTGCCCCTCCCTGCTGTCTGTGTGCCAGGGGACAGGGAGGAGGGCCCCACTCAGGCTGCTTTTCCCCATGCTGTGGAAGCTCAGTGGAACCGGAAGTGCCATGGTGGGCACTTCCGGTTTTGCTTTTGCCGCGTCAACCGGTGTGCCGGTTAATGGAGCGTGCCAGTTTCTGAGGTGCCGGATAATGTGGCTTTTACTGTATGTTCACATAGGTGTATATATGAACTACTTTTGTTCCTCCAAATATGTCATCCTTCCTTAGAGCTAAGAACTTGATAGGTTTGATACAATTAGCTTAAAATACAGAGATATTTGAATGAAGGTTTATTTTGCAATTAGTACTTAATTATGAAATAAACCATTTTGCTATTTTAGGGTGAAGTTGTATTGTATAAAAAGCCAGTTTACAGTTAGATGTCTAAGGGGCAATGCAGTCATCAAAGCAATAGAGAAGCTTCATATTCTGAATCATGGATGTGTTTGGGAGGTAATTGGGAGATATTTTCTTGGAGTAAATCTCTTTAGTTTGAATAGACACCCTTATGCAGACATTTTAGAACTAATATGAAGGAGAATATTTCTAGGAGTAAAATTCTAAGAATTTAATTATTTTATTATATGAAATAATACCTGAGATTTCATTGTGCTGGTAAAGTATAACCCTGCATTAGCTGTGGAACAGAACTGCAGGTTCAGTCCCTTTCCATGCACCTGCTTCATAGGAAGGATTTGCAAGCTTTATAATCCTTTGATACGACAATTTACTTCTGCATCCTTACTCCATTTGTGGGGCTACAATTTTGGCTAGCTTTTATCATCTGGCTCACTTAGACATGAAGAGATGCCTTTTTGTGGCACATGAGCCTGAAGCAGTGGTGCCTGCCTGTAGTGGTGGCCAACCTTTTTGCTACAATTTAACCCCTGCCTTCAGTGCTTCTGTGATCACCAGCCCCACCCCCAGAGGTGTACCTTATGGAGTTTGCACCCTGAGGCTCTAGAATGGAGGCAGGGAACCATGAGCTGCTGCTTGTGCAGAGCCTAGTAGGGGCAAGATGGCAGTGACACCTCCTCTCACAGCAGCAAGAGCCAGGTTAACTTTTCCAGGTCCCACAAGTGCTACAGTTTTATATAGTGAATGAAGATCCAAAGCCCTTAATTTGGCATTAGCTGCAAAGCCAGGGAAGGGTTAACTTGATTCTTGGCAGTGACACCTGCCACTTTTTCTTGCTTTACTGCACTGGATAGTAGGCTCAAGCCCCTCGGCTTCTATTCCAGCGCCTGTCTTTACCGAGCTCCCAGGTCTCACATGTCACACAGCTGCCTGTACCATTTGTGGTTTACATGGTGTATGAATTTATATAGTACCATAATTTCTTGTATACCATACACACCTTTTCCAAATATTAGCTGCTGATAAACGGGATGCACATGTTAAACAAGAACATATGGTAATAGAAGCTTCTTCAGCAGAAGCTTCTACTGGAGCAAAGAAGGGGCTACTCTATGGGGGTCCCTTCAGCATGTCCCTTTCCTCCCGTGTTCCCACATTTCACTTTATTAAATGCATACTCTCAAGTTGCTGCTAGGCCAGACTTTGCTGCTGCAAACACTGCTGCTGATGGAAAAATTGTCCAAAGCTAGCTAGCAACTGAGGGGTTAATGGAGTAGCCACAAGTATTTACCTCCTACTGCAGCTGCCTGTGTTTATTCTGCTGGCAGGAAAAATGTTGCTTTCTTTACTCTACCTTCTGAAAATAGGACCTGTGTTTTATCCAGGGGGACATGGTGTATGAGTAAATATGGCACTTATTTGTTATGCATTCTTTATCTAATGATATATATTATTTATAAAACTGAGGAGCATAAAAAGAAGAGAACAGCAAGATTATAACATAGAATTATTGAATCATAGAAAATTAGGGCTGGAAGGGACCTCACTCTCTAGTCCAACCCCCTGCTCAAATCAGGACCATCCCCAACTAGATCATCCCACCCAAGGCTTTGTCTAGCCAGGTCTTAAAAACCTCCAAGGATGGAGATTCCACAATTTCACTGGGTAAGCTGTTCCAGTGCTTATCTACCCTCCTAGTGAGAGTTTTTCCTAATATCGAACCTAAACTTCCCTTACTGCAACTTGAGCCCAGTGCTCCTTGTTCTGTTTTGTGCCACCACTGAGAACAGTCTTGCTCCATCCTCTTTGGAACCCCGTTTCAGGTAGTTGAAGGCTGCTATTAAATCCCCCCTCAGTCTTCTTTTCTCCTGGCTAAATGAGCCCAGTTTCCTCAGCCTCTCCTCAAAAGTCATGTGCCCCAGTCCCCCTAACTATTTTTGTTGTCCTCAGCTGCTCTTTCTCCAATTTGTCTGCGGCAGGGGTAGGCAACCCTCGGCATGCGTGCCAGAGTGTGGCACGTGAAAACATTTTGCTTGACTTGCACCTTGGGGAAGGGGACAGTGCTGTGCTGCCACAACAAGGATCGGGTCCCTATAGCTCCCTTGCCATCTAACCCTGGCATGGCAATATCTTACAAGTTGAAGTTGTGGGTGTTTTTTGAACTCTGCCCAAAAATGTTGCTAACCCGTGGTCTACATCCTTTCTGTAGTGGAGAGCCCAAAACTGGACACAGTACTGCAGATGTAGCCTCACCAGCGCTGAATAGATGGGAATAATCACTTCCCTTGACCTGCCTGCAGTCCTCCTATTAAAGCAGGCCAGTATGCCCTTAGCCTTCTTCTTAACAAGGGCACACTGTTGGCTCATATTCCATATGTCCATTGTAATCCCTAGGTCCTTTTCTGCAGAGTTGCAGCTTAACCAGTCAGCTCCCAGCCTGTACTGGGACATAGGATTGTTTTTTCTTCAGTTTAGGACTTTGCACATGTCTTTATTGAACTTCATGAGTTTTCTTTTGGTCTAATCCTTCAATTTGTCTAAGTCTTTTTGAATCCTAGCCCTATCCTCCAGTGTATCTACTATTCCCCCCAGCTTGCTGATTGTGCACTCCATCCCATCTTCCAGGTCATTATACATGTTGTATAACATCCAAATCAATTATTTTGGTTGATAAATGCTTTCTGGTTAGCTTTTATAAAATTACTTTTGCACAAGTGAATGCAAGTTAAAGATCATTAGCTATAATGAAGTAAATAAAAAGGTGAAACACAAGGGAAAGTTCTTTAAAAACAGAGGACAAAAATGTTCTATTTTCTCCAGTGGATATAACAATTATGTTTTTGGGTGGTTTTTTTTTGATAGCCGCTGGTTAATGAAGCTAAATTGGCGGTTGGAAATATAAAGCCTGAGTCTTTGTCAGAAATCCGGTCACTACGAGTACCCCCAGATATAATCAGAGACATACTAGAGGGTGTTTTACGACTAATGGGGATTTTTGATACATCATGGGTAAGCATGAAGAGGTAAGTTAACATTTTTTATTTATTATGTTAATACAGGAATGTTAATCTGTAATGACAGATATTTCCTGTTGCATTTTTGCAAAAGGTTCGCATCATGGGAATGGACAAACCAGAACAGACCCTTGTGTAACTTGCATCAGTTTTGTAAACAATGAGAATTACACACTGCTCAAGAAAGGACAAGTGTGTCATTATCCGGAGGTAGCCATTTGCCTTTAGCAAATGACTACCCTGGGATACATGCAAATACTTGACACCTACACTGATACAATTTACACTGGTGGAGTTTTACCTCAGATACTTTATGGAATAATTCTACAGCAGATCAAGTTAAACCAGACTGGGCAAAGCTATTCTAGTTTAGAGGCTTTTGCCATCTATTTACTACATTTTTACATTGGTGTAATACTATAACACTAATGTACATGCATCTTCTGTCCATTTCCACAATTCCTAATGCTCTTGAATGAAAACAGTTCCATTCTTAATAAAAAAAAATAGGTAAGATATTTCTAGTTATGGCTAGAACTGATAAGTTTCCAGCAAAGTACTCTTTAAATGATCCTACTTTCATAGAGGGTCTTTTAACTTTATTATCAATGCTTCTTTATTCAATTTAATGCTATTACTATTTATAGTTTCCTTGCCAAAAGAGGAGTGAGAGAAGATATTGCAACCTTTGATGCCCGTTACATTCCAAAGGAAATAAGAGAGAGCGTAGAAGAGCTCCTATCCAAAAACAAGGCGTCTTTTGATCCAAAGGTAACACGCTTATTGTATTACATTAAAAAAATTGACTAGATTCTTCAGTGTACCAGCTTTATAAGCAGCATGCTTTGTGCTTTATAAGTAGCTCCAAGTTGTTTTATTGGTGTTGGGAAATAGTAGAAGATTTTTCTTTTACACGGGACCTCTTTGCCAGCAGAGAGAGAACATTTGCCAGTGGTGGCTTTGGTGCTTTTTCCTCAGGTCATTAGTATAAGGGATTTTGTTCAATGTGGGGCAGGGATGGGTGAGAAACGATGTTATGGGGTAGTGAAGACCTCAGAGACCTTATGTCAGGGCAGTCTCAAGGTTGCAGAGCCACACAGCTCTGGCCTATGGAACTATAACAAGCTGCTTCTGCTGGTCCCCCTGAAGTCAAACTCTTCCCACTAGTTTTAATTAACAAAAGGGACTAATGTGAAATCATTGAACAATGATCAAGCCAGCAGTAATTTTATAGAGGAATTCTGTAACTTTAGTTCCTTCTTTTCTAAAAGGAAGAAGTCCCTGCTTTGCAAAGAAAAGAAGTGTAGTGTTATCTACTCTGCACTCACATAGAACTCCTTGACTTCAGTGGGGCTCCACACCCACTCTGTTCTTAGTGCAGAATAAAGGCCTAAGATATAATCTCTTCTTATAACAATTTAATACCTTTCATTTGAAAGATCAGTTTCTGAGTCAGATGGCCAATATTGGTAGTCTCCAATATAGTATAGCACACCTGTGTTTTTGTGTGTGACATTTAATAAGGACCTTTAAAAAATAACGTCTATTACATTTTCAGAATGCTAAACGAGCCAGTGCTGCAGCTGCTCCATTAGCAGCCTGGGTTAAGGCCAATGTCCAGTATTCCTATGTCCTGGAACGAATTCAACCTCTGGAAAAAGAACAGGCAGGATTGCAGGCGTGAGTAATACACGCTTTACCTTGCAATTTTTCAGAATTTCAAAAATATCCATAATGTTACTATTTTTTTAAAGTGGTAATATACAGTTATAGTACACAACTGACAAACTTGGTTAAAGGCCGGTTCTCATTTAGTGGCAAAGCGAATGCTATTGTATAAACTAGAAGTGCAGAAACAAAGTGCAGAAAATTAATTTTAAAAAGGTGAATACAGGCTAAATTCATGGCTTACAGTCTAAGGGCAAAAGGAAGAATATTTTCAATATATTAAGAACATAAGATATCCTAGAAATCGTATGGATGAAATAATAAAGATATTAAAATTGTTAACAAGGAGGCAAAAAACGCATACATGCTGAATAAATATTTCTGCCTGTGTAAAGTAGTGGGATCAGGTGCTTTGTAGTACTTCTAAGTTAGGCAAAATAATCGAAAGATTATATAGAATTCAGTTGATGCAGACTAAAGGTTAGATATTTATTTAATTCAAGTTAGCATAGTTTTATGGAAAGTAGATCTTGTTCCAGCTGGTCCCTGGACTCTGTCTGGAGTCAGGGCCAGAGCCAGTCCAGCTTCCTGTCCCTCTACTGCCTCCTACTTGATTCCAAGATGAGAGGCTTTCCCCACATGTTAAATGGCAGAAAAAATTCAACTTGAATCAAGCCGGTATGACATTGTTAACATTTGTGTCCTGAGAATTGATGAAACCTTGTATCTTTGGGCATTGAGGTCTCAAATACAGCCTCCGAGTAGCAAACTGTTGTTCTTTTCTATTTTCTTCTTTTTATGAGCCATGGATCTGCATATGCTGTCCTAATCAAACAGTTGATTATCTTTTAGGAACCTAAAGAAAACTGAAGACAGAAAACAAAAACTGGAAGATCTGCTTAACTCTGTTGGTCAGAAAGTATCGGAACTGAAAGATAAGTATGTTGGTTTGCTTCCATATATCTTTAGAATATTTTTATGATAACTTTATTTATTGATTTTTATATTTGGATACTTTCCTAGAAGGGGCTTAAAATATATGATTGGGCTACTTAATCTAGTATTCTTGAAATGCATGGAGATATTTCCCTAAGGCTTGGGAAAAATTCAAATAGAAGCTGTTTATCATCCTTTGCAAAAAGGACAGATAGTTATCCTTATTTCAATTTTAATGTTTGATCCACTTTTCTGAGAGCTAATTGATATACCTCTTCCTATTTTGTAGCATCACATCAAGTATTTATATATCATAGTAGCATAAAAATGTTAGTAATTGTTTTGCAGATTCCAAAGTAGAACAACAGAAGCAGCCAAACTTGAAGCAGAACTAGCTAAAGCACAAAAAACACTAAAAGCTGCAGAAGTACTAATTAATCAGCTTGACAGGGAGCACAAGAGATGGAACATACAGGTTTGTTGAAATTTAAAAAAAATACATATGCCATTAATTCATACGTTTATACAGTGAAACCTAAGATGGAGCCTATAAGGGCTGGAAACCTGCTCAAACAGGAAAATGTGTACAGTCCCAGTCTGCCTCATGGGGAATTATGTATATTTAGTTGGTATAAACCTTGGCTGGCAGCATAGCTGCTGCTATTTTTGTGGACCCCCAAAGATTGCTACCTGGGTCTGGTGTCCTGGTCATCTGTATGTTACACCACTGCCAGAAATTTTCTAGTGCAGAAATGGAAATAGCAGACCGCTCCCCCTATGAACTGGAATCCTGTCTCAGCCCTAACTTGTTTCTAGTCCATTACGATCCTGTCGTAGACAGGTTTTATGGTATCCTTTTCCTAAATGCAACTGTTTAGTTTGCTGTATTTTGCCATATGTATGGAGTACAGGTTAAAGGGCAGTCCGTTGCAGCTCCTGAATGCCACTGTTTTCCATTTCACAATTGAAAACTTTCTTTTAAAATTATTTTGCAGCTTTCTTCTGTTTTATTAAGATGCTTTGTTTTAAGTGATAGGTGTGGAATGTGCATAAAATTAATTGCTTCATGGGATAAATAATAATTTCCTTGATGTGGAACTGGTAATACTTTTAAATCACAGCAGTAATGTGACAGTTGCTATGTCCAAGCTTTAACAAGTTTGGGTGCTTAACCTGAAACTTTGAAGGTGACAGAGCTTTGCAAAACATTGAGGACCCATCTTTTCAGAAGGAGTCCCCATGAATTTTTTATGTTGGGAAATCAAAAAGTCACAACAAATTGCATGCCTCTATAAAGTTTAAACTTATAAGTGTTTAATTCAGCCTATAGTGATGCCTGGCTACACTGGGAAAAACATTATTTTCTCTCTGTTTCTGCAAATTCTCACTGAAAGGATTTCATCCCTATAGAATCTATTTGTAATGGTTTGTGGGACATGAAACTATAAAATCTATCGCTGGTTCAAGTCTTGGTATTGTTCATTCTGTAGCTGGGGCCAATTTCATTCTTGGGCAAAAAAAATTCTATTCAACTCCCTTAGAAGTCAGTAGAAAGACACTGTTTGACTTTAATGAAAATTAGATACGTCTGAAACCCAAGATTCAACTTGTCTGGGTTGAAAGAATTAAACTTCTCTTTGTCAGCTTGTTTTTTTTTTTTTTTAATGTAGCAGCTCTTTGAAACTCTTGATATGTTGACTATTATAATATATTTAAGCAGAGATTGTGTAGTGATTAGAATAGATTCTGTATTCAGAGATAAAAGATAAGCGTGTTTCATCAGATAGCTAAAATATTTGTGGCTATAATATGCATGCAACATTTGCTGGGCTCTGTATTGTAGGTAGAGTCTGGAGTGCTACCTTCTTTATAGCACCTTGCTTTCAATTTCTTATACCTGTCAAACTTTAACCATTCATTACACGTATTGTTGCAGATAAATTTTCTGAAGACTTTGTCCACACTGAGTTTACTACAACCCAGAACTAGAAGGACTTTCCCTGTTGTTACAGGTCTGGGCTGTTGTGGGCCATACCAGCTCTAGTTCTGAGCACCTGAAATGAGAAGCAGAGTGTCTCTCGTGTGTTGTTAATACCACAGTGGTTGGACAACCAGTGTGGTGGAGGAAACCGCTTGATTTGAATACTCGTGGGACAAAAACTGCATCTTTACAGTAGGGTGGGAGAAAAAGATTTAAACAAATCTGTTAGAGGGAGAAGCTGGAGCTTGAGGCTGTTCTTGTGGGGAGAGGAAGATTGACAGTGGGATATGAGTTGAGGATGAGACTGCGATTGTTGTCTAACTATAGGAAAAATCAAGCGAACATGTAATTAAGGATTGTGTATCAGGGTGCTGAGTTAAGGCTGCTTTTCATAACTTTTGAGTGTTTGACTTTGGACCCTTAAGATTCTTTTAATATAGCTTTTTTTTTTTGTAATACACACATATGCTACACACTTTTTTTAGGTTGCAGAGATAACTGATGAACTAAGTACTCTACCTAAAAGAGCTCAGTTGGCTGCTGCTTTTATTACCTATCTTTCTGCTGCTCCAGAGGATCAACGAAAAGCCAGCCTGGATGAATGGACAAAATCAGCTGGTCTTGAAAGTAAATATTTTATTTTCATTAAAAACAAAGTTGTGCCAAAAAGTGAGAGAGATTAGTAATTCTGCTATGCCTTTTTGTTTATATATTTTGGAAAATAATAGCACATATAAATGATCAATAGAATTACTGTTATTATGGGGAGGTACAACTCAGTCAGTGGCCTTACTGAATATGGTATTTCTAGAGAGAAAAGTGACAAAATTAATTCTTGTCTAGGGATATGTCTTCTAAAATGCTCATGTTGCGTGAATGTGGAAAGCTTATAACTTTTCATGTAAGTCCACAATGTGTGTGGAAAAAGCAAAGTTGTAAATGGTGAATCATCTCACTCATCTCACCTGGAATACTGTTACCTTGCCCATGCCTAAAGACAAAGAATGTTTTAAGTTAAGCTATTTTTGTCCTAGCATTCTCATAAGTTTCCTTTAATACCAGATAACAAATAGCAAGAACTGCAAACAGTATAATAGGTCTAAAAGAAAGCGACAGAACTGTACTGTATTGGGCAGGTGCTTTTATAAGTTTTAAAGCAGGGACTTGCAAAATAAACAAATGTCATCAAAGGTATGTTGTATATATTTAATAATTGAATCTTTAATTTGACAGAATTTGATTTAAGGCGGTTCCTATGTACGGAGAGTGAAGAACTAATTTGGAAGAGTGAAGGTTTGCCCTCAGATGATCTTTCCATAGAAAATGCTCTTGTGATTTTGCAGGTAAATAGTTCTTATATTTGTTGTTTCTTTTCTGAGGTACATTTCCTTTGTAGAGGTCTATTGAAGGCACAACCATTATAGAAATAAATAGATGTGATCTGTTTATATGTAGAACTTTCAGTTGTCTAAAACAAAACAAAACAAAACAGTCGCAGAATAGATGCATTTTACTTCTTGGGTTTTTTCATTTTTTATCTGGAAATTCTAAAAGAAAGGCCCTCTGTCAATCAATTAAGGCCCAACATGTGAGCTACCCCTTGCTATGATGATAAACTTTTGACAATATGATAATGCATTTTTTTTTCAGAGTCAGATTTGTCCGTTTTTGATAGATCCTTCTTCCAGAGCTACAGAATGGTTGAAGACGCACTTGAAAGAATTACGTTTGGAAGTTATTAATCAGCAGGTCAAGTATACTTTTATTTCTAACTCTTGGAGTTTTTCTGCCCGAAGACAGGCAGAATGTGAATTGAAAGCATGCTGGCATTCACAAGTGACAGAGCCAGATTCCTAGGATAAGAAAAGTTTTCACAAAGTTCTAGTAGGAAATAACTAAAACTACTGAGAAGCCCTTTGACTATATATTTAGCACCCAAATTGTGAAAAAAAATTGGCAGGTCCAGTTTACATCTTAATTTAAGATTAGAAAATATCTATTTTTTTCAAATTTGTTCTTATGTTTGATTAAGAAAAATCCTTTGTATTTATAAATGTATAGAGATGATTTGTAGACTCAAGTAGCAGGGAAATCAGATTATTTAAAATTAAAGAGCCGTATATTTTGGTTCTTTTAAACTTTTGTGCTATTTCTACCCAGGAGGATTTCATGCTTTATTTATTTATTTATTTTTAATAAAGATAAAGTATATTTAAGACCACATCAACACATTTTGATGAAAGTGGTCTCCAGACTTTCCTTATGAATCTGTGTATTTCTTACTTGAGTTTTCCAATATCCTATCATTTGCCAATTAACGTTTGAATACCTAGTTTAGAATTAAAGAGATTATTGGTTATTGCTATGAAGAACTACACTCTCAAGAAAATTTACTGAAGAACTTCTTGGTGGGAGAGAGAAAACTGAATTAGAAACCTGCTGAAGTCTTGTTACATGGGGAGTACAGAAAGACAGACTCTATTTGATAGCAGTTTCCACATCTTATCTTTACAGTTTATCTATAGCCCAAATTTGGAAAGGTGATCTGTGGAATTCAAATCAGATTTTCACAGGTACTATACTTATTATTCTGAGAGAAACTCAAATGCTTGTCTTTGAGAGAGCAGTGCTATGCCACAACTGTAGAAGATTATCAGTCTTTGTTATTCTAATGTTCTGGGTTGCACAGAAAAAAGTTCACAAACAAGAAAGGTCTATTTCATATGTATTCCCAAATACCTCTGCAAATTTGTCTCTCTATCTCTGTTCTGCTCTAGTAGTTATGTTTCCTGGTGGTAGAGAGGTGTTAAAAGATGGTAGAAGAGACTTTTTATATTCTTTGTTCCAGTTCACTGGATCTCAGGTATATCAGTTTCACTGATTTAGATTGTTCAGTGACTTGCTTTCAGGGGACGCTGCTCTTACTGTTTGAATATATAGAGATAGTTTAGTTAAATACAGCAGTTACGATTAACTAGCAGACTTCACCAAAAGAATTGTGTACAATATTGCACATGTAATGAAAAAGCTCAGGTAGTCTGTTAATACTCAGAAATCCTATTCCTGTTCATAATTAAAATCCTCACACAGCATTTAATTGTTCTATCTATGTCTAATGTATTATTATCACTGTTAAGAAACTAAATGAATCAGTGGACCTTTTATTTTTACAGGATACAAACATCATTACTGTTCTTGAGCTAGCAGTGAGATTTGGGAAAACACTCATTATACAGGAGATGGATGGAGTAGAACCTGTTCTTTATCCACTGCTAAGAAAAGATCTTGTTGCTCAAGGTAAATGTCTATCATATTAGAGAGTCAGTTAATTCAGTAGATCATATGTAGAATCTGATTTTTAAACCAATTGTTTTCAGAGACATGAACAGTGGTTGGGATTTTGCTCTTTTCTGCTGTCATTTGACTAGCAACATGATGTGTGAATTGCATTGGTGGTTTTGTGATTGGTCATATGTGAGAAGGGATATTTAGAGTTCCATTTAATAGGATGAAACAAGACAGACTGATCAACCATTCACAAAGGTGAAGTTAATGCCTCACTAGTACTTCCAAGCACATGTTTTGTGTGTAGGAATTCTGGCTCTTGTAGAGTTAAGAAATGAAGTGCTTTAATTTAGGGCTCGGTGGTGTAGGTTGTAACCACGTTGGTCTAAAGACATAGGCAGACATGTTTCTTTGGGTAAATCTGATGTCTTTTATTAGACCAACTCGAATAGTTGGAAAAAAACTTAAAGTTGAAACCAGTTTGTTTAGTATTGCAGTTGTGCTTTCATTCATTTGAAGGCACAGAGACTTTACAGCAATTTGGGAATGGAGGGGAAATGTTGCTTATCAACAGGTGTTGGGAAGCAAGATTAACTAATCAAGCAATAAAGCATGGTATATTCAAGAGCTCGTGCGTTGTTAAAAGTCCTCTAAGTCATTAAAAAAATGTTGATGTGTCTAAGTCAAGAGTTTCAGCTAAGTTGGGATATTACTTGTAGCCGGCCACAGTTGCCTGCATGGGCATGGCTGCCTGTTTATAACCAGTTTATAAGCAGCTCTGTTAGTGCTAAGCAGTATCATCAACATGACAGATGCTTCTCTATCTAGCTGTAGGCTTCTGAGTCATGGTTCTTAGTTCCTGGGGTCCTGCCAGTTTTTTTTTCTAATTTTCTGCTCTCTGGGTTCTGCTTGTTGGCTTCCTAGTTTCATTCTTTTCCTGCCTACTGATCCCTTTGCTCCACATTTGCCAGCTCTTCACCCTCCAATCCCTCTGCTTGTTCTTCACTGCAGTCCAGTCCACACCCTGGTCTTCTCATAGTCATCTCCTGGCTCATGGCTTTAGTTTGGAAATAGCCCACGTGCCTGCTCAGGTCCCTCTGTCTAATGATTCACACCTGGATCTCTGCTTCCTGATCCTGACACCTCATGGCTGTACCCAGAGTGACGGTATCTTGGTCCATTACAGACCTTGGTCTTTTGACTTCCTGCTCCTGATTCCCTTGACCCTTGACTCTACTCTGGACCCTGTCTGTTCCTGACCCACCTGGACTGTGAACCTTTTAGAGACAAGCCCTGACTGTTTGTCTGGTTGTACCCCTAACATTGAGTGGCCCAGCTTCAACAGGAACCTGCACTCAAATTGCTCTGTAGCTTGGTGGTTAGACTTCTTTCCTGGGAATTCTTTTTTCAGATTGAGGAACTCAGGTTTCTCCTTTCCTGGCTGAGGGCTCTAACCACTAGATATCACTACCACCAGCATCAGTAAGTTAGCAGTGTACCTTCAGAAAAGCCTACCTTCAGGAACAGAATGACTTGTGGATCACAAGTGAATCAAAGCTTATAGTGTGGTTCGAGTCAGAACTCTTCACAAAGTTTGTAACATGGCAAAAAATAAAGCACTGTTTTATTATATGGACAGGCATACATTCAAAACCCTGTGGCTAGAGCAGGTGTAGGCAAAATACGGCTGATGGGCCTGATCCATCCCACCAGGCACTTTCATTTTGCCTGTGGTGCCTTCCCCAATAAATTGTGCCCCGCCCTGCCCTTCCAACCATGAGGGTGGGAGCAAGGCACCCACATGGACAGCCCCCCAGCAGCCCCCAACAGCCCCCTCCGGCCTCTGTCTCTGCCTGCCCTATTGCCGGGGCTCTGCGCCGTGCACCTGCAGTTCCAGCACTCACAGCGGGGGAAGCCTCCCACTGAAACCTGCTGCCTCCCCCACTCCCTGCTGTGCAGGTCCCTACATTCAGCCAGGAGTGGAGGGAGCCCTGCCCCCTGCTTTCCCGCTGAGTCCAGCGTGGGGCTTCCCCCCTGCAAGTGCGGAGCTGCAGCTGCGCAGCGCAGAGCCCCTGCAGTAGAAATAGCCAGGGCTGCGCTGGGAGTGAGGAGCGCCATCCTGCGCAGCCTGCCTGGCTGCTTCTATCGCAGGGGCTCTGCGCCATGCGCGCGTGCAGCTCCACACTCATAGCGGGGAAGCCCCGCTCTGGACTCTGCGGGGATGCAGGGGCCAGGGCTCCCTCCACTCCTGGTGGAGTGCGGGGACCTGTGCCACAGGGAGTAGGGGAGATAGCAGCCTCCAGTGTGGGGCATCCCCTGCACTGAGTGCTGGAGCTGCACCCCACACCTTCCCTCACACCCCACACATCCACACCTTGCCCCCACAACCCCCATCAACATATACATGTACCCCCTACACAGCCATGCCCTCTCACAACCCACCCCACACACATGCACAATATGAAAGAGTGACTCTTCATTTTTGAGTTATTATTCAATCCCTTCTATATACAATACACAATTACAAGTCATGACAAATATTTTTTTAAATAAGATTAAAGTATAGTAGGTGTTTTACTTCTAGTGTATGATTTGGTTTTTTTCCTGGTTCTAAGATGGCAACCTCCACTCCCAAAAGGAGTATTTGGGTGGGGGTGGAGGCAGCAAGGAGAGTGACTTGTGGTGGCAAAGGTCAGGGGTTAGGGGGCAGGACTTCTGGTCCCAATGGGGTGACTAGGGGCAGGGCAACTGTCAAGGGGCAGGGCTACCTATATGGCCCCCAGCAGGTCACCAAAACTTGTTAAGTGGCCCTCTGCCCGAAATAATTGCCTGCCCCTGGTCTAGAGCATGACAAAAGTACAGTCTTCAGCCAGGGGGTGAAAGAAGACTGCTCTGTACTTCCTCCCCTGCCCCCAGAAGAGCCTGTTAGTGACCCCTTTTACTTCTCACCAGCTTTAGTAGGTTTCTGGTGTTCAAGCACCAGCAACCCTTTAAAATTCTTGGGTTGCAAACATTTCTGTCACCCAGGTTGCCAGACAGGTGAGGGGCTACCTGGACATCCCCCAACAGTCACAGGTGCTAATCACAGTCTACACCCTGATCAGCCCCTGCTAGCCCCTTGCATAGAAGCAAGGGTGAGAAGGCTCCCTGCAAGCTTGCCGTAGGGTGGCCTATCATTGAGCCAGCTGCTTCCCTTCTTTCCTTCCTTCCACTTTAGACACTTTGGACCAGGCTCACTTGGAGCTGTGTGGGACGATCCTGAGCCTAAGACTCCCTGGCTTCCTATCTCTTTTTTCTGACTCCCACTTGTCTAAAGGTCTCTTGCTTCTGTTCATCTCCCTTTCTGATTCTTTTTTTGCATTTTTGTGGTGTTTTTTCTTTTTCTCTGCTCTCTCTGTCCCCTCCCCCTTCACTTCCAGTTTCTTTGTCTGTGAGTCGCTACTTCACAGCTTTTTTTTACTGTTTCTTTTTCTTTCTTTCTCTCTTTTTTGCTTGTTTATTGTGGGGAGTTATCTTTTTCTATATCTTGCCTTTCGAAGGGTGCTCTTAATTCCCCTCACCCCTTTTTTCTTTTTTTCTGTTTCTGGTTTTTTTTCTAACCCTCATAACCTGCCCCTCCCGCCTGACTCTTTTCACTCCACCCCTTTTCCCCTTCCATTTAGTTTTTTATGGCCTCATTCCCAGACACTTATCTCTAGTTAATATACACATCCTAGGCATTGTGGGCGTACACTATCTTGTCACGCCCCTAGACAGTCAGGCAGTGAGACTGGTGCCCCCACATGTGAATGACTAGCAGCTGGCCAAGAAACTCGAGCCCTATGGGGTTCCTACAAGTCCCTTTCGCCAGCAAGGATCCAAAGCTGAAGCATGTCTTCTCTTTTCAAAGACAGGTTTTCATGTTCTTCAGAGAAGGCCCACAGTCTCTGCCTCACTTCTTGAACCTCACGTTCGATGAGCGGAGGTTTGTGATTAATTTTTCCTTGGGGGAAACCACGTGTTTCCAATGTGGTAGCTCTTCCCACCTAGCAGCCCAGTGCCCGCGGGGGAAAGCAGCCGGAACATTGGCAACTGCGATGGCGCTGACAGATGGTGCATCCACTTCTGGGATACAGGCACTGCCCAGCGAGGCTGGGAGCTCTTCCCAACCTCCTTTCACCCCTGTTCCATTCAAGGGGGCTGGAGTCTCCCGCATGACAGCACCATCCAGCGGAGGGGCTGGGACTGTTCCCCAGCCCTCTCTCCTGCCCATTCCACCTATGGTGCCCATGCCTCCTGGTGCAAAGGCCCCACCAGGTAGAGGGGTTGATGCCTCCACTTGCTCCCTGCCTGCCCTGACCGCCCCGGCTGAGGCGACTGGGGTGGTCAGTGACTGTGGTGCCAAGGCCCTGTTGGGCGATGGGGCTCGGGCCTCCTCCCAGCCACCCTCCACCATGGCCTTGTCTCAGGTGGCTGGCCCCGGGGAAGCGGGCCGGAAGCAGTCTGGCCCATCTGCTACGAAGAATGGGCCACCTGCCACTAGGAAGAAGAAGAGCAAAGAGAGGAAGGTGAAGGGAGCCTCTCAGGATATCCTATGCCCGCTAAGACCCTCCTCTGCCAGTGCCGGCGGGGCCCCTGCTGGGGAGCCTGACCTTGTTCAGTCTGTTATGCCGGTGACCCTGTTGCAGGTGACTGCGGATGGGGACAACTTGGAGGCAGGGGAGGTGATGGCGGAGGTCACCAACCCCTTTTCTGTCTCCCACTTTCCAGAGTTGGGTGGCGATAAAAGTTATGCAGAATGCCTCTTTTCCGGAGGCCCATCCCAGGGGGCAGCAGAGGAGTCTGCTAACCTCTTGGTTGCATCCTAGCCTACCGAATTGGATGAGGAAGCTAGTGAAAAGGAGATGCAGCTTTCTGAGCGTCGCAAGCGACCTCAAGAGCAGGATAGCCTCTTCCCCCCCCCCATAAGGTGGAGATTGCTCTCTTGGAGCCAGTCCTCGACGATGAGAGGAGGCTGATGTGTCTAGACACTG